CAGATGCTAGTTAAGACTCGCGCTCTGAACTTCGGACATGGGCTGTCTCCATAGTCATGTTCCTGGTAATGGACCGATTCATGGTTTCGAGGTAACGGGCCGGACTAAGGTGTAATGCAACCGTGCCTATAGTCAGCCTGGCCTGGGGCTCATAAATGGCCCAGTCGTCTACGGAGCATATGGGATACCTGGCGACCTCCAATATTTTTCTGCCTTACCTGCACATCGCGAAGCTTTATTAAGCAACTGTAGCAGAAGTCGGTGAGGTCTACCCTGGGGCGAAGATGGTCGCTGTCGACTGGAGCGAAGCCCCGAGTAGACCTCGTGCTCGCATCTGGCTCCCGGCTTTACTAAAGAAACCGGACCAGGAACCCATCCCTCCCCACCCATAATTGGAAGATGGTAAAGAACGAGGCCACAGAAGGGCCAATGAACCAGGCAATAGTGATACTGAACAAAAAATTGCTGGCGTCAAAAGAAAGCTGCCAAAGGAGAGCTTATGTTTGGCTTCAGTTCGGTGCCCATCAAGGTGTACAAATCGGATGCAATCGCCCGGAGGAGATTCTGCTGTCGACAAGACAGTCGAGCAGGATCCCTCTCCGGAAATCGGAGCAACCGACGACGAGTTGGAGCTTGGATACGAATCGGACGCGTCGACTCTCACTCGGGGCCTTGAGGCCATGTTCAATGAGATCGCTGAAGATGACTTTGCACTGCCAGACGAAGATGACAATAACAACACGGTGGTGGGGGTAGTATCTCCAGATGTCCTTGAGACTACTGCAGATAAACATCCACAACTGTAAAGCAGCATCTGGCTGGTAGGCGAAGATGACAGTGGCAAGGTTTGAGGGCTAGGAAGTAAAAACCATAAGCTCCTTGTAGCTCAAACTGAAGGTAAAACACGTACATGCATCCTCGCGAAAAAACATCTAAGTATTTTTCTGCTCCATCATCTTTGCAATGGCGATAACAGAGCGGTAAGCATGGAGCTCCAACCAGCTCCGATACGACTACTGTCTGCATATATGGCCCATGACAGCACTGGACCACCATCAGAGGAGATCACAGGATCCCTCATCGTGGAGTGCGAGAAGCACAAGATTGGCCTTATCATAGGCTGTGACGCCAATGCCCACCACACACATCCTATGAGTGACTAGAGTGACAGGTTGGAGAGTATCTGAAGACCACTCCTTCTCTGATCACAAGTACCCAGAACCAGTTCACTTCTTAAATCAGAGGAAGGCGAACTGGGAAATCTTTGAAACAAAACTAGACCGAACTAAGCCCAGATAATTTTGCTTATCTCTGTAATCTTACAGATATTTTCACAATAGCATGCAATGACGCAGCTTGCCCCACTAGTAGGCCAGAATAAACCGCCATGGTGGACACCTCAACTAAATGTCCTTCGATAAAGTTGCAGGTATCTCTTCAACGGTGCGAAATACCAAAACAGCGATCTTAAAAGGTCGCAATACAAGTCCAGTTTGGCGGAATTCAAAAAAGCCACCAGAAAGGCTAAACGGAAAACCACCCTCACACTAATTTATCTGAAGAAAGATGATAATTCATGGTCGGTCTCCAGTGAAGAGGCACTGGACATCCTCCTTAAAACGCACTTCCCAGGCTGCTCTAAGCTGCCTTCGAGGTACAGACAAATGCATTTTGAAGAGATTTTTTCTATAAAACCTCTTCTACATAAATATAATATAAAATGGGCAATAAACAGCTTCAAGCCGTTTAAATCTCCAGGCCCTGATCAAGTAAGCCCGGCCAATTACAGAAGGCGGCCACGCAACCATAAACTGACTACATGAAATCTTCGGAAAAATTCCCAAGACTGGTTAAATCGCACCGACGCGGCTCCAGTCAAAAATAACCTTCATACCTTAAGCTGGGAAACCATCACATACCAGCACCAACGATTTTAGAACCATCAGTCTGTCATCTTTCATGTGAAAGACCCTAAAACGACTCATAAGTCTCTGCCTTACAATATCTAGCGACTCCAAGCTTAAGGAAGGGCAGATCTACAAGTACAGCCCTCCATTCCGTAGTCAATATTAAAAAAAATTATAAAAAATTCTCTTCTTTATAAAGAGTATACCTAAATATCGTTCTTAGGCATTGAAGGCGCCTTCAACAACGTCACTCCAACGGCGATAACTGGAGCTCTGGTAGACCTGAAGATTGCGACCAGTTTAGTGGGATTGATCAGTCAATTGCTCACTTGCACGTTTGTGAAATCTACACTTGGATCGTCAACTCTCTCCAGGTATGGCAGCAGAGGTACGCCACAAGGGGGCGTCCTGTCACCCCTACTATGGAAAATAGCTATAAATAGATTGCTACGGGACATGGAGGGGGACGGCTGCAAAGCTGTTGCATACGCAGATGACGTCGCGGTAACCTTCAGGGGAAAGTACCCCCAAACTCTGTGTGACCTTATGACTCGTAAACTTAAAATACTGCCATGATGGGCACATAAGTGTAGTTAGGGTGTGAACCCCAATAAAACAGAACGAATTCTTTGCCTTCTCTTGCAAGCCACCAAAAATAAACTCAACAAAGTTCAGCGCATGGCTGAACTGTACATATCTCTTCGTACCACACCTAGTGAGGCACTAGATGCTATCCTGGATATTGCATGACAGGAAAGACAATGAATAGAAAATGCAACACTCGCGGCCATAAGACTGAAAGAATCCTTAACCTGGATTGCTCGGAAAACAGGCCATGCATATATCTTAGAAGAGAATTTAAACATACCTTCGAAAACAGACTACTGCGTGCCAGTAGTACACCTAGAAACACCCTATAGTACATTCTTCCCCCCAAGGGAGGAACGGACCGATGGTACTCCCGGACTACCGGCAGTTGTGACCTTCTTCACAGATGGCTCAAAGCTAGACAACCGCGTAGGCGGAGGTGTCTACTCTGAGCAACTCAATATACAGCAAGCCTCCAGTCTTCCGGCACACTGCAGTGCTTTTCAGGATGAAGTATTTGCTGTAAAGGATGCACCAGATTACCTAAAAAGGGTCAACGTCAACCCCGGCAATGTCAACTTATATATTGATAGCCAGGCGGCAAACAAATCTATTAGCGCGATATCTTCAAATTCGATATCAGTAACAAGCTGTCGCAAATCTTTGCATGAGATGGTTAAACAGCATGTTATTAACCTGCTATGGATTCCTGGACACCAGTACATTGAAGGCAACTGCAAGGCTGATGAGTTAGCTAGGAAAGAAACTCTTTTACCACTCCTCACGGATAAGGAAGGCCTTAGGCCGATACCTACAAGCTCAATAAAGCTCAAAGAAGAAAGTATACGCAGATCAAATGTTAAATAACGAAATGCAAACTGCGCTCGCACAGCACTAATCTGATTCGCACCAGCTGCTCTGCAGTAATCCATGCTCTAACAGAGCACTGGTTAGTCAGCATTCATGCCAATTGACTACAGGTACCGTATAATGATTTCTGCAGAAACTGCAAAGAAGAGGAAGAATTTGAATCCCCGGAACACTTCTGCTTCTGCCCAGCACTTGCCAGGAAACGGTTTGGCAATCCTGGGAAGCCATTCCCTAACTAGCTCATCAGAGCAAACCAACACGAGACCGGCCAGAATATAATATATATAATATATATATATATATATAATCGCAACTGGCTGGTCAAATCTCTGACTTTTTATGTTTTTTAATACGGGCCAAACATGGCCCATGTTAAAACCTTCCGGCTGACAACCGTTCTAACCTAACGTACCCGTGCTAGTCATACGAAATGAGAGCACTTCCAAGCATGCTATTATATGAGTATACAAAACTTTTCAAGACAAATCCGGAAATAAAACTAGAAAATATTGAACAGCTGGGTTCAGGGTATATCATAGTCGAACTGACTCGACTGCTGCATTCTTACTTGTTCTTATTACTGTTATTATTCATTCGTTTTGTATTATGGTCAACGATTAATTTAAGCTAAAATTATTATAGTTTAATACACAACAAAAAACAAACTTTACCGCTAATTACTTATTTTTTGCTTGTGTAGACACAGACACAATAAAAGTATATGTATACTATTACGTCACGTCTCCCTTTGTTTGAAAATTATATCAATTTGAAGGCAGACGCAGTCCAAAACATACTTTGAGATGATTAGAACTTATATGCGTACCTGATTATTATGTAAATATATATTGTCTGGATCAGCCTGAACATCAGCAACTTGATCTAGATATTATAATCTTTTTTATATAATACTTCCATCTTTAGATGTATATTTAACGCAGTTATTGTTGTGAACCTTCTGTGGGCACCGAAAATCGACTGCATTTTGTTAAGGAAATCAAATTGTGCTTGAATTAATAAATTAGCAGCTAACACTCATACAAATGCAAGACTGGCACGTGCCACGAACTGCATCACCCTATCTATATATTAGGTCATATGATAGATTCAATAGTATTTTCAAGCGGACCAACTAAGCGAGTAAGCAGGCAGATACGGAAAGTCGGACAACACTGGGAATCGAAATAATGAACGACTTTTTTAATTAAATTCAGCTGCATTGAAAAAATCCACCGTTCATTTGACAATGTGTGGATACATATGCATGTGTGTGTGTGTGTGTGTGTGTGTGTGTGTGGGTGTGAGAGTGTGTTTTGTGTGTACGATAAGCCAGTGCCATTTTTATGCCCACAATCAGACAAAGTATTGGTAATAATGAAAACAAAAGACAAAAAAAATAAAAAATTAAAAAAAACCAATCGAAGTGAAGAGAAAATTGTCGATTGACGTATACTAAATTTTGTTTGTTTTTGTTTTCTCATTGCATATGTTTTTTTGTTGTCTGTCTTTTAGTTTTCTTTTCTTTAGATTTAATTTAAAGTTAGCACTATAATACTTGTCTCTCGGGGAGAAAGAATGAGATGGGCTATGGCGTTGGCATTGGTGATGTCGATGTCGATGTCGATCACAGTTCAGTTCCAAGTTGAAGATGCAGTTTTATTTGCTTCAATTAGCTCTCTAGCCTAGTAACCATAGAAGAAAGCCTCGTACGAGAATGTTCGCGTCAAATTACAGTCCAACAATATCGATGCCTTGTGTTTGCCAATGCCGCCATCTATGAAATAGGCGTTCGCATCATCGGCCGATGCGTCCACATAGATCTCAATGCTGGTCAAGGTGATGCTGATCCCGCTGGATGATGGATAACGCATCTGCACCTCAACATCAACGGCAGTGGTGAAGCTCTCGTCATCATAGTTATTGACCAACAGCTTATCGCCTAGCATGAGCGAGAACAAGCGGAGAGCGAGTAATCCAATTAGCAAGCCATAGACGTATCGAACATCAATGTTTCCATATATAAATATATATAGATTGTTCCTTACCCGTAATACGCTCCCCGGCACTGAATACAATGTTGCCCTTGGCATGCTTAACTTTCTTCAGGGGGACCAATTGCACGCTCGGATTAAGTGTCGTAAAGCGAGTCTCATTGGTCACTGTCTGAATGGGCGAGTAGTCCAAATCGCTGGAGCGCTGCTGCTGCTGCTGCGACGGCAACTGCGACTGGGAAGGTGCAGCGAGTGCGCAAGCGCTTAGCACAAATAACACGAGGCACACTTGCAACATTTGCGAGCGTAATAAAAACCAAAAAAAAAATAAAAATTGTTTTCAATTAAAGTAACAATTGTCAATTAAGGTAAGATCGGCTTGTGGGTTCCGCGCCCTGTGCAATCTATTTGGCGACTGTTTTGTGCATTGTCTGGCACTTTCGATGGCTTTTATACCGCACGCTCTCTTATCGGCGGTCAGCGTTAGATAAGGCAACGCGACAACTGAACGATAAGCCGCAAAACCTTATAGTATTGCCCATGGTTTTATTTTTTTTTTATTTTTTTTTTTTTAAGCACTAATTCGCCATAATTCGCTCAGTGTCTATTAATAGGCCACTTGAAGCAATAATTTTAGACATTCCCTAACACCAAACATATTTGGCCAATTCATTTCCTCCAAAAATAACCAAGCGATTGATTGGCAACACATAAACACCAACAAGCAAATTGAAAATTGTGTTTGTTTTCACTTGATCAGGAGACATATGACAGCTGAACTCTTTCCAATATTTTTATATTTATGTAGTTAATTTATGCAGCACTTGAGACTGGCTTTTACTTCCGTCTCCTTGTTGGCCACTTCAAATTGTTTGCTCAACTTTGGACGTAGGTAGCTGACACTGATTTCCTTATCGTCGACATAACTAAGTACAAATATAAACAGTAGCCAACTTACATACATATTTTTGCAGTATATGTATTTATCATATTGTAGCAGCAAATTTAATGCCCAATTGCCATTCTATAATTCTCAATACCTCTCATTAATTTACATACACACGTGAGTTTCTTAGTTTTATTATTCATCATTTGAATCAATGAATTAACATTGGCTTAGCAATTTGGGGATCTGATTGGGATATTCAAGAAACTCCCAAGTCTTAAACGAAATGTAACATGAAATGTATTATAAATTTATTGTAAAAAATAAGTGCATATTATTATTTGAATATGCGATAATAAAGCATTATTTCCAGATACAATACGATGGATCACGACTTGAAATGATAAAAATAATAACTAATTTTACATTATATTCAAAGGTATAACATATTTAAAACTATTTTTGCTGTGCTTTATGTTTTCAGATATAAACAAGATATGACAATCTGTTATAAGCGACTTGAAGAGTCCTTCTGAACGGTAACAAAAATATTGGGTATAGGAAAAAAATTTGAATTCTTATGATTCCCTTCCCTTCCCTTAAGTATCTACAAAAGGGAATGCCATATTGTTTTTTCAAACTGTAGTCTATTCATGAATCAAAATGAATCAAAATACCACAAGTATTTAAAAAAAATTATATTCAAAGCGATATCAAATAATTGTAGTATTTTAATCAAATTAATGGACGGGATAAAGTCATAATTTTAAAGTTCAAGTTTTCAGTTGTGGTTGTTACTTAGTGAGGAATGTTATCGTCACTCCCCATAAAAAATTATAAACAAATATTGCCGGGCACCGTTAAAGGGGTATGATTCGCAGGGAGTTTGTTCTCGGCGCGTGTTGTTAGAATTTGTTTTGCAATCTTAACCTTGATATACATAATTGCGCACAAAAGCAAACAATCTAATAAATGGGAATTTCGAGAAAACTGAAATGGCTGTCAATCGGCTTTTTGACTTGACTCAGCGATATCATTTCTTATACACCATGCACATTAAATGGGGTAGTAAAGTGCTATCGTCAACTGAAGCCATAAAAAAAAAATATATATATATATATATGGATCAGCATCGCCAAAGTCAAAGTACGTCAACGGGGACCACAGCAAATCAATCACATTTATATTTAACCACAAATATTAAGATAAGCAGGAGGTAAGCCTTCTGCACTAGAACCTGCTACAGGGTATCTCAATGCTGAAAACTGCTATTTGACTTGTTATCATCTTTTGGTACTTGCAAAATAAAGCGTTTTATGGTTGACAATCTGACACATTATGTTCAAATGTTTCACACCAAGCAGCGCTCACAAGTACTTATTACGACACTCAAATAAATACTGTAACTTGACTCATCTGACGATATCGCTACCGAGTTCACTTTAAGTCTACTTGAATGCAGAACGAGGCTGCCGATTTTTTAAAAAGTAGATTTCAATTGAATACAATAGTATAGTTAAATGGTATAGTTTCTCTAGGCAACAATTTAATTGCACCACCACTAAGGAAAAAAAGAAACAAAAGCATTTCCTTGATCTTGGCCCTACTAACCTCAAAAGTTAGACATCGCGTGAGTTGATTCAAAAAAGTTCCATTGTTGCTTGTTGTTTGCTTTGATAATGTGATGACGATTGAATGAACCCATTCGAAATATCCCGACGTCAGATGGGCAGCCAACCGATCGCCGATGGCTGTCCATCGTGCAAAAGCTTAACGCTTATTTACGAGATGGTCGAGCTTTTTCGAGTGGGAAGCGCGTGAGCGCCATTGATTTATGTGTCTGCCAGTGGACGTGTCTAGCGCAGCAGATTTACAAAGACCATACATACACCTTCTCCCAACCGTACCCACCCCACCCCTTTCACCATTCCAAAGACATACAGACAAACGAGTGTTGACTGCGCGTACAATATATATAGATAGTGTATTTCATTTTATAAGTATCATACGATTATTTGTACACTGATTTCTTAATAGGTAAAAGTGGGGAAGGGCAAGGTAAAAGTATGGTGGTGAAAGTGTCCTTGGACTTAATCGGAGCCGAAGTACTGCGCCTGATAGCCAAAACTATTGGTTTGCTTAGCCTCCACCACAATGGAAATGAAACGCTGGCCAATGCCACCGGCGACGACATAAGCATTGCCCTCGCTGTTATCCTGTGTGCAAATAAGCTCCACAAACGTCACAATTGAGCCGGCGCCGGACTCTGGATACGTTAGCTGCACGCTCACATCCTTCTGAGCCGGATAGCTGAAAACATCGGCGCCCTGAGCTACCAATCTGTCGCCTGAAAGTAGACCATAGGTGTACGATTGTTAGCGAGATGTTGCATAATTTCAAAGACTATCGGAACTATTGGACATCAACTATCGCTTACCGGAGACACGAGCGCCGAGCGTATATCGCACAGATTGTCCGCTCATACGACCAGCCGGCTGCTTCTGCAGGCGCTGCAATTTGAGGCCCGGATGTTCAGCAGCGAAATCGCGCACATTCTTCACCACAACAATTTGGCGTTGTACATCGCCGTTGCGGGCCACGCCCGCCAAGCTGTCGGCCACCAGGCAGCCAAATATGGCAACCAAAAGACACAGACTCAATTTGCACATGTTGTTTAATAAAAACAAAACAAAAAAAAAGCAACTCTATCGAACTTGAAACTTGTGTGAGTGTGTATTCCAACTGCTGCGAATGATTATCGCTGAATGAGCTCTAGCATGGCAAACTGCCTATTATTTATAGTAAAGCCAACTAAATGGAAGCCGTTGATTTGATTGACTCTTGCTGCACTCCACACGCCTCAGACGGGTTCCGGTTGCCGCTGAAGCTACCACGGCTCTTATCACCTCAATTGACAATTGCCAACCGACAACGTTTAATCCAACAACAGGAAAATGATTCATTGGGAGTGCAACGTTTTCTAAATGCTCTTAAAGAATTGCAAATTCAATTCTTCTAGAACGAAGACAGCATAACAAAATTTGTTATCCAATATTTGGAATTAAAACTATTTTAAAAATAATATTGTTTTCATGATTGTTTGGTGACTCCAGGTAAATTGTCATATTCCACGTCTGAAGACATACCGCGGCGGGATTCAAAATAAATCAAAGTATAACAAAAAATTTAAATAAAAAAACTTACTCCAGGAGCTGGACACAGCGAAGAACATTCTTAAATTATAATAACAATAATTAAACAATAAACAAAGCAATATTGTCATATTACATTTTTTTCAAGATTATGCTATATATTGCAATATATTAAGTGTTATACATTAACTATTATACATAGTTATATTTGTAATTGAGATATTGCTTGAGTTACTCCCAAAACTCCAGCAGACCAAAAAAAAACATTATGAAATTACCTGCCAGATCTGATGAACTTATTTTCTAGTTTATTGGACCTAAATATAAAACATCTCTTTGGTATTTTTATTGATCGTTTCACAGAAGACCCGAATTTAAAAATCAGCTAATTGAAGCTTATTTTCTTAACTAAAAACATTTAGATTTATTTGACCCCGAAAACCGTATGAACCTGTCCTAATCTAACGTAAGCTATACAAATCCAATTCCACATTTTTATGTACAACAGAAATGCCTATAAGTCTAAATCAACAATATAGATGACCAGCACAATTATATAGGAAAAATATAAAAGTCAACGTTTAGATTATCTATAGACCCCTGAGATGACCCCGTACCACAAAACAAAACAGCATACATTTTTAACAGAAATCAACGTTATATACAAAACTCATGACCGTGGAGGAGGACTCTTTCAAAAATGTAGCATAACAAAGCTGATAAGGATGGCTCCCGGCCCAGGCCACTTCAGTCAATTAAACTGAACAATTTGGTGATATTGCGTTCCGCTCCGCGCTGATCACGGGGCCAACAGACTAATGCTGGAGATGTCCATGTATACGTATGTAAGGGCTGGCTGACTGATAAGCTCGGAAACATGAACACAAATAAACAGCACCTGACAATTTGACAATTAGTAGCACGGTTACTTTCTAATTAGTGATAGAATTGGCATGCATCAAAGCTGCCTAATACACAGAGTCATACCAAACTGCTCCCAGTTCTATATTCAGGCATTTCACAGAACCCTATCGAAAAGACGAAGCGCAACCCATGAGGACTTTCCTGGAATTGGACAACTTCGAGTGGCGTCATCGCCACTCATAAGTAATCAAAACAAATTGGGCAATCGCCAAAGATAACACCAGTTTATTAATAATGAATAAAGCAATTCTGAATCATACGACTAAAAAAATAAAATACTTCAGATTTGTTTGCAGTTCGAGAAAGCTTTGTAATGCCTACTGCACATTGGAAATAAGTTTGAATGTTATAGAGAAATTGAATAATGACCAATAGTATTCTTAATAATTTGTATAGTTTTTATTTATAACCCTAGTTGAACATATTATCCAAAGTGTTGGATTCATTTTGGAAAACTTGTAAGCATCGTTATTTAATTTGAATGTAATCTGTTCCCCATTGTTAAGAGACAAAGTTCAGATTCTCTATATATATTATATACCACATCAAATTCACACAGGTTCTGACATTTCATATTCCCCTTATATAATCATTATCAGCATCAGCAACAAATTCCGATTTTTTCGAATTGGAAAAACTAAAGATAATGTTTTCATCGATGTCATATAAGAAATAGAATTTGGCTTTTGATTTGCTTATGCTTAACCGACTTAAATACAGAATACAGAATATACATATACAGTTGCAACACTTTGTGTTTAAAAAACTTGTTTATTACTATTCATTATTCAGACTTAGAACTCTAGAGTTACATTTGAATGTAAATGTTAATATATGTGTTTAGCCTAGGTATTATATATTGTATATATGCATGTACACATCTACATGAATGTATAATCAAAAAAAGTACATTTAAAACACACAGCGACTGCGACAATGCTCGTGTTGCAAATTGGGTTTATTTTTGGGTTTTGTTTTTTTTTGTTATTTTTCTTAATACCACACAATAAGCGTTTGCAATTAATGAAATTAACAAAATCAATAGGAAAACAAGAAAAAATAGTCACAAATTGGCAATGATCATATATATAGTATATAGTTGAGCTTTAGTCGCTTATGGAATGTAGCAGCAACAACAAACTTAGATGACAAACAAAGGCATATAATAAATATATAGATAGATAAATAGATAGACACGCGTATTACGTAGAGTTATAGTATGCATACATATGTACTACAACATTTAAAAATAATTTTCTGATATTCATGAATATGTCCTGGCAAGTCTATGTAGAACGAACTGGCGCCAATTGTATTATATATTATATATGTCGTATATATTGCACACGATTCGCACTCTTACTCGCTCGCACACAAGCTAAAAGAACACTTTCCCCTCACTCGCTATTGCTATCTTGCTCACGATCAGGCGAACGCTGACGCTCTCGCTCACTCGCACGCCCTACGCACAGCAAAAAAAATATACACACATACGTATTACAGATGCGGGTACAATCTGGGCAATCGGTTAAGATAATTGTTGTCATATATTATCTCCTGGATCTAGAATACGTACTTAATCAATTACATAATATCTGGAATGAGATTTTCTGGCCGTCAATAATTTTGATAGCAGACAGATAACGGATAGCTTTGCTTTTCTACACAGTATTTAACAGTTGCCAAAAAAGATGTAAATAAAATGATGGGATTGCTTTGATTGAATTGAGGGCTGCTCGTATTGATAAACATACTAATATCAGTGGTATGCGATTTGTTTATGTGCTCACCGAATTGCCACAGAGCCCATTTCCCGTATATTATAAAATATACCTGTGCTTGTCGGATCTGTCTGCCTGTCTGTCTTCTAAGTGTACGTTATAAAACCAACAACAATTCCATTTGTTTACATTTCCACTAAATTCCTTTTGTCTACAACATCCCCCCTCCCTCCTGACCATCAAGTCCCCCTTGTCGACACGGTGCACATCCGATTGAAACCCTTTGTATATATTGCTTTAATGCCTGACTGGATTCCCTTAGCCCTACCAGTGCGGACGTATCTCCTTGAAGAGCCACTTCTGATATCCATCGTTGACATCACACTGGCCCAGCGATAGTTGCTGACCCGCTGGATGCAGGGCCATGCACTTTTTGTGCACACGATGCAGGAGATGTTTGGTGTGCTCATTGTAGCTCCAGGGTCCATCGACGGTGCCCAGACGGCAGACGGCCAGCTTGATGCCCTGACGATCTGCCTCCACGCACCGCTCACCAACGCCCAGCTGCCCGACGGCATTCAGACGCACAAGCTGATTATTGCCACCGCCATGGCAATAGGAGAGACCCATTATTGCCGGCGGCTGATGACCCATGGAGTCGAGACAGCCATCTGAAGCCACTGAACGCAGTTCGCCCCAGTGCAGATTGGCCGGCAGAGCGGGAAATTTGTCAACAACATCATAGGCAATGTTGTCCATAAACCACTGGAATGATTTACAATTGAGACGCTTCTTTAGCGCCAGCTGTTCGCTAATATCGCCCATGTCCAAATAACGAGCCAACGGCTCTCGCGTATAGAAGAACTCCTTGTGCGTGTCATCAAACCAGGTCTCAATCACGCGTTTGTAGTTGATAGTTATGAGTGGGCCTTTCTTCTTGCTGGCCAGCTTGCCGAAATTGTAGGGCATAAAACCGCGGTAGACATGACCGACTCGGGAGCAGGGCACCCATTCGATGCTGCCGCCGCATTGCCAGATCTTAAAGCTTAGCTCGAAGTTCTCACCGCCCCACACTAGCAAGCCGGGATCGTAGGCGCCCAACTCAAGGAAGTATTCGCGATTAATTGCAAATAAGCCGCCTGCATGCGTCGGGCTGCGATACGGTTCCGAGTTGTGGGCGCGACGACGCTGCTCCCGACGCGGCACCTCGTTCTCCTTGTACAGCATGCCCCACTCGAAGATGCCGCGGAAGTGATTATCGCTGCCATAGACCGGCCGATATTCGAAGGTCTTGTGATCAATTCCATCGATAATGGGCACCGTCATTACAGTGCGATCCCGATAAATAGGCGCCAGCAGCGGTGGCAACCAATTCAAATTCACCTCACAGTGCGCATCCAAAAATACAATCACCTCACCTGCAAGACAGTATGAATGTGAGCAATGATGCTTAAAGGAACCAAAAGTACACATAAAGCCTATAGTCTTAAGTGACGGCTATCTCCATAAAGGGCTGGATTATACACAAAGCAACAGCTGCGAACCTGATTTATCTATGTTTATTCCCAGAACTATTAATGCAATCCTTTACATGATGATATTGGGTAATTTTCAAATTAAATACACATTTTACTGGATTTACAGATTCTGTGCTAATATTTGACACAAATTTATATAATATAAATATATACAAAAAACTAGCCGATATTAATTAAGGTTACTCAAACCCTCTTCGTAGCTGATACCAACAAATTATTAAAATCTAAATATATATTTCGAATCAGCTGTGAATTGCACGCACATTTAGTTTGAGGAGGCTTCATCCTGATCTAATTACTACCATGTCATACTAAATATTAACTGGGTTTATTTTGCAACTTACACTTGGATTAAAGTGGTTAGAAAGAGAGTTCAAAGCGAAAAACTTTTGTGATTCTAAATCGTTTCTGAAGCCTATTTCAAACCCTATTCGAACTAGTTCACAAACAGGAAATATTTCTAAATATATATGAGTGTCATTCCCAGTCCTGTTGACTATGTTGATGTTGACCACTCACCTGTGGCCTCCATGGCGCCGCGGGAGCGTGTTCGTATGAGGCCCTCGCGCTCCTTGTTGCGTATTATTTTGACGAGTCCATTGAACTGCTGAACATAGTCATCCAGCTTGCTGCGCAGATTCTCCTTGTCGGAGAAGTCATCGACAAGAATGATCTCATGGAGCATGTGCTTTGGTGAACGATCGATGACCGAGTGAACGGTGCGCATTAGCACTGAGAAGCCCTCGTTGTGGAACACAATGATCACACTTGTTGGCGGCAAATCGTATGGATAGTCCCAGTGTTTGCATTCCTCGAGACGCGTTTCGCGCACCGAACGATGCATCGATATATCATCGGAGCAGGCAATATTCATGCCGTACTCCATCTCGGAGGCATCCGCCACGTTCTTCTTTTCCGGTGGCAACGTATACGCGTCCCCATTCTCGCCGGGACCAGTACGTGGCTTCAAATCTTTCGGCTCAAAGTTGCCCAGACCTACAAATACAGACAAAATAAATGCAAACAATTCTCTGGTCAACATACATATATGAAACGAACGTGTTTAGAAATGCTAATGCAAATGTTTACTTAAGTGTCACACAGCGAGACATATGACTGCCTGCAAATATGTATTCAGTATGGCATCAGCGAGCACGCAAATGCACATAATAGTTTTCTTAACCCGAATGAAGAAACTGGTTTCAAAATCCCTTATAATAATGATATTCAAATCGTTTTTAGTCAAGAGAGCCACTGGAAAGTCCACTTACTCAATTTTTACTATAAACATTTCAAGAGAGAAAACTTGCCTGGAAAGAGATTCTCTTGATGATTTATAACAAGCATATTTTTAAGGAGGCGAATCTATATATCTATATCTAAAAGTATATAAAAGAGTTTGCCTAAAAGCAACATCTTTTTTTTAACGTTGCTGGAATTTTAGAATATTACTGCAGAGGAACAAAATTGAATTTGCGAAAGATAGATAATCTTGCCGATGGTCTTTCAGAGGGAGAAAGAATATTGAAACGCTTCGCTTATACATATATGCATACATGCAACATATGCGCATCGATGCAACTAACTAAACACATACATACCCTCGACTAGCTTGGGCACCTCACGTGGCCTATTCTCGAGGCGCTGATGGTTGAATTTGGGGCCGCCAAAGCGCTGGTGATACGCCTCTTGGACGCGCTTGTGATGATCGCTCCAGTTGGCCAGCAGATAGAGCAGCGGCAAGATGACCAGCAGACAGAGCGCTAAACGGCAAATGCGTCCGCTGCGTATGTTGCTCACACGCATTTCGCGACACTTGATTGCTATTGTGTTTTTTTCACTACTGACTCAGCTTCAGATTCAGATGTTCTACAAAATTGACTCCGATTTCAAATGCGATGCCGTTTGGTGTTGACGTGTCTTCGACGACGAAGCCAAGACGTCGACGTCGACGGCAACACAATGTTAAGCAAAGCAAAAGCTAGCAAATGCCGCACATCAATTATCAAAAACAAGAATTTTTGATGTTTTTTTAATTAAATTTGATTTTGTGTCTGCTCTGGATGTGATGGCCGCTGTCAATGTGTGTAAGTGCGTGAGTGAATCTGAAAGTATGTTACTATTAATATAAATTCGAAGGTGTGATATTGTGTTAGTGTGTGCGCTTGTGTGTGCGTGTCTGCGTTAGTGTTAACAAGAACCAGGTGAGCACCGCCGCTGCGAATGCTATGATCAAAAGACAATCGCCGATAATGATAAATGAACGTAGCGGCTTAACACTTTTTTTTTTTTAAATACCAATTCAGAGCAATTACAGTTCAATGCAAATTGAGTCAACGCTGCTCACACAAATTGCAAACACAGAAGAAGCAGGGCGCGCGTCGTTTGCAGTTGCAATTCACAAATGCGGCAATAAACGCAATGCAAACGTAAACAAAAAAATTGGCTGTATGTGGGGACTGCCACGCGTTTGACGTTTTCTAGCACATCAGGTGGCTTCGCTTGCACCACAACGCCAACTAGCGGCAACGGCAGTCAATGTCGTCTGCTATCGATAAACGACTGTAAAAATATACTAAACATGAACTTTACGAAAATACCATAACGACACTTTATTTGGTGCGTTACGTTGCTTCTGGTAGTACGTTGCGTACTGGCATTACGTTACCCTATGTTGTGAAGTAAATACTAGATTTAAAAAAGGAACGCAACTGCAAATTGTAAATTTGCGTTCGGCAAAATCTTGCAAACTTTGAGCAGTTGAATTTTTTATTTACATCGTTTTATAAGTTAAAAAATTTTACAATTTACAAATAAATATACATTTGCAATTTCATTTGTACAGGTAAATCGCAATAATTATATGTATTTACAACTATTACGAAAATGTATGTATAAATATATATGCATATATCAATGCATATATTTAAAGTACAATAAATAAAAGTGGCAATCTAGCGGAATGCATAAACCCATTTGATGCCGATACGGCAGCAAAATCACCCTTAAATTCAATGCTGCATCTTGTTCTTATTCTCTATGGTCAAAACGCTGCCAACTCGACGACGATCAAAGAATGGCGTAGGCTCGTGCAGCGCTCCAATGGCGGTAACAGCTGCAAATCCCCCGTCGCCGGGATTATCACTCATTTTATGGCCAACTTTACGCAGATAATCGATAATCTCAGTCTTAACTTCCAACTCGTAATCGACGATCATGGGTATCAGCTGATGGTGCAGGCGTCCATCATTTATCGCTTCCAAGAGGCCTTCATTTCGTATGAGATACTTCATAATAACCTAAAAGCAATAAGTAAAAAATCGATTATTGCACAATATCGATTTACTTCAGAGCAGTGCGTCAAGGTGGCAGCTGTTCAATGAGCCTGTTATGTTGGCTGCGACAAATTCCATATTGAAAGAAGTCATAAAGTTACACATACGCACCGCTGCCACGCTGGTTGTGATCTTGGTGCCGCCAGCAGCACCGACTAGCATGCGCACATCGCCATTGCCATCGACAATAATTGCGGGATTCATGGAGGACATGGGCCTCTTGTGTGGATAAATGTAGTTGGCTGGCGACGACGGTACCCCAAAGCCGTTAATAACTCCCGGCGTGGAGAAATCATCCATCTCGTCATTCAAAATGATACCTGTTTGGGGCGAAGCCACCTTGCAGCCAAAACTGTAGAATTTTTTTAGTATAAACTACGATGAAGGAAATGAAAACATTATTTTGATATAAATGTGTACTCACTAGTTATTGATGGTGCTGGTTATGGATATAGCATCGCCATTGCTTGCCAACACATTCATGTGAGCGGTGCCGTGATCGGGTTCTACCGTGAAATTGGCACCATAGAAGATATGATCCTGTGAGGTTTTATCATCATCAATCAAGCTACGCACGCTATTCACCAGCTCTACGCTGAGCAACTTCTCCAATTTATCCTTTATATCCGGCCCATATTCGGGATCGTTCTCATAGTCACCCAAATTGGATCGCTGTCCATACGCATGCTTGAAGCTCTCGATGGCACGATGCCAGTAGATGCCCTCATTATCCGAATACAATTCATTCATCACATTCAGTATAAAGGCCAGTATTGGACCGCTCGATGGTAAAGGGGTCGTATACAAAGTGAAGCCGCCGGTGACATTAGCCGAAATGTGGCCATCGCTCTCCCACCGCACCCTGAAACCGATTAACCGGACAAATGAGAGGATTTGTATTAAAGAGTGTATCCGAAATCAAATTGAATGTGATTTCAAATGTAACTAGAAATATTATTATTATTAATAATAATAATATTATTTAATTTGAAAATAAGACTCCTTTAAGGCTGAGAGACTAGTTTACGTAGAAATAGACAAAGGGACAGACAGGCTGTCTGGCATTTAACAAAAAATGCTGGACTGTCTGTTTGACATTTAGAAGTAGTCTTTGTTGGCTGTGATACTTGCTTGTAATTCTTCAGATCATCCACAGTTATGATGCCGCCCAGCTTGTTGATGTCCTCGACAAACTTCACACCAGTCTCGCCACCATAGTAAAACTCGCCGGCGCCATTGTTGGCGATACGCTCCAGCGTATTGGCCAGAGTAGGCCGCTTCATATAGTCATGCTCCACATACGGATCGCCCTGCGCATTGAGAAACATATCGGATAGTCCGGGATCGTTTTTGATTTGCGTTAGCTTCGACTTGATGGCCGCAGCCAGATAACGGGACACGACATGACCATCGCGTGCCATCCGAATCGATGGTTGGAATAGATTCTTCCAAGGGAGTCGACCATATTTCTGATGCATCTCCCAATAGCCAAGTATCTCACCGGGCACCGCACCTGCCATTACCCCGGTCACCTCCTTGCTACCGATAAACATGTCCTTGTGTGCTGCCGCTGGCGCCGATTCGCGTGCAATTATCGTCTCCACTTTGCGGGTGCGTCGCGTATAGATCGTTGCAACAAATCCGCCGCCAATGCCCATCGAATGAGGTAGCATGATGCCCTCGCAGAGTAGTGTCGCAATTGCCGCATCCACCGCAGAGCCACCATCTTCAAGCATGGTGCCACCGACTTCGGCACAGCCAATTCCATTGGAAACGACAGCTCCGGTTATATAGCGTTTATCCTGCGATCTCAAGCCAAAGACAAGTCCCAGAGTCAAAGCAGTGACTATCAGTAGGATAATTATTAGCCATATAAGGTACTTCTTATTGAACGGCAGTCTACAATCCAAAAACAATAAAGAACACGCATTAAATTTAAAGGCGATACTTTCATTTCTGTTTATTCAGTGACTCGCCAAAAGCCCAACTGAAGTGCCAGTAAGTGCCATAACCGGGGTTTGGTTAATTGCCCAGTTCTGATTAGGCTTCTCAAGTTTGTCCACTTCAACGCGTAAAAATATTTCATTTTGATTTGTTGCTGTTACTCATTTGACAAAAACTCACCGCTAAGTACTAGTTTGGGACACGAATTGAATGGAAACCAACAGAGCATTATTTATTGTGAGCCCCAAAGCATGCTCAGAGTACTTCACTGGGAATTTTGTAAAAATAATCTGTTCAATACAAATGTCGGCTTACACATACAATGAGTAAATTGTGTATGGCCTGTTTCGATTTTGTATAGTCAGTTGTGAATTCATTTTTAAGCTTTTGATTCGCCCTTTTATGCAATCTTTCTGAATTCCATTGCAATTTTCGGTGTGTCAACAACATGCCAACAATACTATTTTAAAAGTTCATTATTTCCATTACTCCATCTTTCCTTTCACTGAATCAAAGGATAGAATTCGTGATTTCAATAATAATTCAGAAACTCAATACTATATGAGGTTCCATACTCTAAATTGCACATACATCGAATGTCAAATTCATCAAAATTAAACTCATTGAGCAATTATAAATAATCCACAAATTTCTCAGCTACAATTTATTATCGTCATTATCAAGTCATATAGTCATAAGTATCATGCTTGGGAATTTAGCTGGTCATTCTTGAAGTTCCCGCGTATACAAATTAGCCATAATACCATTATGTCTAACGGTTATCAGTGCAGGCTTTTTAGTTTTGTTTGTATGAATGTATATGTTTCTGTCATAAAACTCGACAACTCGTTCAATTATCTTGCAATTTTCTACAAAAACGGCTAGTTTTATAATTCGCACACATCAAATAGATTTATGATAGATAAAGACAGTATATCTCCTAGTCGAGCTATCGCTCTATCTTTCTCTCACCCTCTCTTTCTTTTCTGATTGCCCAAAATATATATTATGTTTTATATATATAATATATTTTAATGAATTATTAATCAACTGTATACATTTTTATCAAAATCGGATGAGAAACACATGTCTTAACCCAAGTGGTATTTCCACATTTATTTAGCATATATCGAAACATATCGGTTTCCGATGGCAATAAAAGCCACAAATCTGTGACTGAAAAATGTGCCAAAAACCCAAAAGTGCTTTACACTACTCTTCACAACGGGAGGATTCGAGTCCCTGGCGGTTTTTGCACATCAGTGCTTACAGCGGGTCCCACTGTAAAACACTATTCAGTCTTGTCAGATTAAGATTGGGACATTTCTGCAGATCATTGTCGAACGTCATAGGCCAGTCATAATTGCGGCCCAATGGATTAAAAGTTGTATATAATGATAATGTATTTATGTATTTATTATGCCAATTTAAGATGTAATTTTTTTTATTAGCAGCTTTTCGGTTATTTCAGCAGTCAGCGGTAGTCGCCATTTATTTATTTATAAGCGGTGCCATTTGATCGAAAATATGTGCTTCTATAAAAATCGTATCGTGTTCCAGTAATTAGTACATTATAAACCGTAACTTGGCAATTGATGTTTTGGTCTTAAAAGTCCAAAGTCTAAAAATAGTTTTGCATTCAGTTGATCGAGCGATCGACAGTTCGTTCTGGTACTGCACAGTAAAGCATCCCAACTTTCTTACTTCGGAATGAATGCAAAGCTTAAAAATAAATTAGCAAAAATGTAAAAATTGAAACAGAAGTATATGCATCAAAATGGTCATGCTCATATTATATATATTTTAAGCCTTAGTAAAATGTTTAGCATATTTTGCGCTCGAAATATTTATTTGCCATAAAAATAAGTTGAGAATGTGACGACCCCACAGTCGTATAATATACATACTTCATAGTAAGGCTATAGACCCGGCTAAAATATTATACTATAATTGCTAATACTAGTTAATTGAACATGTTTTTCCTTCATTGGAATTGAACAGTTGAATAAAAATGCTGTCTTGTTTTTTACTCTGCTTAAAATTACTTAAAAGATATACATTTTAGAGCAGTAAGATTGTGTTAAATATTTGCTGGCGAAGAACAGCTGGACTCTAAATAAATAATAACAAAAACTTAAGCAAAACATTTTGCTGTTCCATAATTTACTCTGTGTCTCTCTCTCTCACTTCTGTATGATTACCTCTCTTTGTTAGTCAGATCACTCAACCCACAAATCGACAGGTTTAAGCTTGGGTTTTATTTTAATATTTTTTCCTTTGTGTTTTTTTTTTCAATCGGTAATTTATTCAAGCGTTTTGTTTTCACGGTTTGAAAAAAAAAGTATATAATTTGTGGTGTTTATGGCCAGCTACGTGCAATCGGGTCAATGTTATTGGCAGAAAACAAATAAATGAACATCTGACTGATAAATTGCACATTTTTAATTAGGAGTGTGAATTTGGGGGAAACACACAACGGAACAGAGAAAAAATGCTTGCCACCAACGTGATAATGTCAAATTGTTAATTATTTACAATCTACGGTGAGTTTATCTACTTTACCATATTTTGAAATTATAAACCGATTAGCGCTTTTCTTACTAAATTGCCGCTTTGCTTATCTAAATCTTATCGGGACTTGAGCATGCCCTATATCCATAAATGGCTTTATTTTTAAATTTCAACTCTCGCAAATAACATTCTGATGTCAATATTGGTTCAATATACTTCGATATCTCAAGTTGGGCCAATATAAATATAACGTGCAAAGATGGGATAAAGTGCAAGGCGAAAGAAGACGCATAACAGTTTACTCCCTCAGTTTGTCAATTCGTCGTTCAGTCCGTCATCCAATTGAGAGTTGCTAGAACATTGATTACATGGAACGTTTTAATTAGTATGAATGCTGCGATCACAACTGCTGAGTAATTAAATACCCTGTAATTTACACTTCGACTTCCGTTGAGGGACTGGGTTTGCACTGCGGAATACCATAGAATTAATGCCAAATTTAATATAAAAATTTTACTATTTCAATAGTTTTATTGCTGTAAGCGAAAAGCGCCTAATCACTTTCAAAGTAGTTTAAGTTTTAATATACTCGTAAGCAACCCCATCACTCAGAATTATTTGAGAGAACAATGAGAAGTTTCGTAGTACAGGGAAAACAATCACAACAGGGAAAACAATCAACTAACTTATCGGGTATGTTCTTATCACTTGTTGATAAGGTAAAATGAGCAAAAATAAAGTCTGATTTTCAAGACACAATTTCTTTCTACTGAATACTGTAATGAGAAACCCATTACAAGAGTTGTGTTGTATCACAAATTAAATCACATTAGATGCGCAAAGTCTTTAAGAGTGTTACGAATTAAGTACAATTTTTAAAAATGTGTGCAACGAATTTACAAAGGTCATGATTAGATATTCTACAATGGTTTTTTCTTATATATATATTTATTTATTCTAATAGTTTCACGTTTGCTTAGGCATCTTGGAAAAGCTATCGAAAGTTAGGTCTTCATCAGATTTTCTTTTATTGCTTTAATTATAAATATTGTTAATTAATTTAACGAAAGGCTTTACACTTTGAAATACTAAATACTATTGATTAAATATAAAATATTTCAAATATTACGATATTCACAGATATATTTGAAAGGGGTTTCAAAGAATTAATGTTCAAAAGTATTTCCATAATCTACTGCGAATATAGCATTTGAAAATTCCTATTCTTGTGTCAGGAAATTCCAAATAGTTATGACGAATATGTAAAACACAAATAACACGCTTACCTCATTTTGTAAAAATATTAATATTTCAACTAGACTCAATTAGATTCTCAAATTTAACAGCTGAACGTAGAAGCGATTTTATCAAAACTATCACGTTCGAGCATTGACCGCCTTCGTATTAAAAAAAAAAATAATCACAAATGTAAAAACAAAAAAAAACTAAAGCAATACAAATAAAAACATTGAATTCGCGCACAAGAGAAATGTAAATATTAAATACAAATACAAATAAATCGAACAACTGCAAATCAAATTTCGAGCACCAGGACAAGCTGGTCGCAAAATTGTGTAACACGCGGCAGACCAAGCAGCTAACTAACTGAACACCTGTAGAGTTCGACTGCGACTGATGAGGCGTGGAGACGCCCGATGCCGCATTGCAGCTTTGCTTCAGTTCAACTCATTTCGATTCGATTCGATTCAATTTTGCTTTCGTTTTTATTCATTTTTGTAGTGTTATTTTGCTATTATGTGCATATGTATATGTCACATATTAAACAAACTGTTCTTTATCGAAACAGTCAGTAAAACTTACAATCACACTCACACATACACACCTACACAAATGCATGGATAACCACTGAGAGACGCTCGGATCTTTACGCTCTTTATTTCAAATTAGTCGCAGTGTAAGCTTTGCGGAAAAAAATGAGAACGATAGTACCGCAGGTACATTTGCTAACACACACTCACACTCGCATACACACTCGCATACACACACACATACACACACACATACATATATAAATCAGCTATGTAAATACGAAAATATGTATTTCTGCAAAGCTTAAGTCGTGCTTTGCACACAGCTGTTATTTGAATACAGTGTTGTCGGACAGACAATAGTTAAGTACAGCCACCCACACATAAATACATTCATACATATATATAACTTGCCTAACAAACAGTTGTTTTTGAATATAAATTCAAATTACTACAGGGTGTCAATTAAAAAGTGTTCGAAAAATGAATGGATGTATGTATATTCTTGGCCAACACAATGATCTCTGGGTGGATGTAGCCAAGTTCATGGCAGAGTATAAGGTTGGATAATAAGTCCATGTAAGCTGGGTACAGGGTATGACCTAGTCAGGCACAGCGCGCCTACCTATTTTATTTGTACAGATGAGTTGACAGCTGCTGTGGGGATTATTAAAATTCATTTCAATTATTCGGAAAAACCAATAGAAAAAGAACATTATCCACAACAACAAAAATCGCCAGTACATTCCAGACTAAAATTCCAAATTCATTTTAAAAAATATAACCAAATAATTAACGATCCGCGATTTTCACAGCTTACTCAATGACTAAACAACAAAAATATTGCAATTGCCTATATAATTATAATATGGTGAAAGATGTCGTCACCTGCTACACCTACAACCAATAACAGACTCCAGAATTTAAGGTAATAAAAAATAATAACTGTGTTATGTTTATATGCTTGTGTATCGTTTAATATTTTATCACAGAAATTTTATAACATAATTTGTTTGCATGCAATTGCAAATAAAGATTTCATGATTTGAGGGTTTGTGTGACTGTTAACTGTTTACTGTTAACTGTTAATTTGAGCGCCAACAATCTACTCCAATTGCACGAAAAATATGTTTATCATCCGATGTGTTGTTGTTGTTGTGGTTTTTATTGTGGTTAACGCCAACGGCCCAGGGGGCCAGCAACTTTAACGGTGTATTTGGTTGTTCGCCTTCTGGCCTTGAGGAGCTGCTGCTGCTGCTGCTGCTGCTCCTGCTCAATCATTTTAATCGCATCCGGGCCGAGTGCCACATAAGGCATACTCGGATCAGCCACAAGTTGATGCAGCGGCAACACTTGACTCTTGGGCAGACACCGGAACGACGGCAGAGGGGCGTTCTTCTTCTCGTGGGCGAGATCCGTGTAGCCGAGCTTGCGCCGCTGCTGCGGCGTTATCTTGGTGCAATGGCACAGCTGATGGATGCGCATCGCTCGCTCCAGATCAAAAATGCGATCACAGAACTTGCACTGTTTGTTATCTACTTTAGCTGTGGCCCTCTTAACGGTCTCCCGCATCCGACGTTCCCGGAAGCGCACCTTGAAATCGTCGTCGTGGATGCGCCGATGCGCCCCCAACAGCGACTTAATGTGGAATCTGGCGCCGCACGAGCTGCAGCTGTAGGTGGGCCTGTTCAGTTGCTTAAGTGCGCCCACCTGGATGCGTCGATTCCCGACCCCGTTACCCTTCCCCTGTTGTAGTTGGTGCTCGAACTCCATCTGCAATTTGCGTACCTCATCCTCATCCTCATCCCCATCCTCTACGTCATCGTCATCGTCATCGTCATCGTCATCGTCATCTTCGCGTGGCGAGAGGCCGTTGCGACGGGGGGACTGCAACCGAGCTGCACACATTTGTTAGACAATATTTTATGATTTCAATTGGGGTTCACAAAGAGTTAATCATTCAAAAACAAGAGTTTAAAATTACTGCATTTTAAATTTAATAATTTGAATCCATTTGATTCGTATTAAAAGAGGGTTGTAATTCGAAACTAGCAAACCCAAACCAAATAACACCGAAAAGTTCGATAATCAATTAGCATGCCTTACTCACTGGGCATGGCTGGAGTCCTTATGCGTGTTTGCGGCATGTTTATTGCGCCTTCCTTAAATTTCGATGGCGTTCCTTGTTTGTTAAGATGCTTGCCCCGATGAAGGTGACTACTCCCGCTCCCTCCCCCAATGCCAATGATGCCTTCCTCGCTGGAACGCTTCCCGCGTAGTCTGTCAACGGGATCGTGATTTGATTCGGAGAGATACTTCAACGTGTGCTCTAATGATTTGCGGGCGTCTCCGACGTCTGCTTCTAAATTGTCGCACGATGTCATTTTAGTGGCACGCACAAATTGAGTGGATTTGTTGTGTTTCATTTCGACCTATGGTTATTATGTGTGTAAAGAAATTTCTTATTATGTGGTTCACTTTTTCCAGATTAAAAAATATATTTTAAGAATTTCTTTGTATTTCTTCACCTCTCCAAGAGTAAAAAATATAGTTTTGACAAATATACAAATTCAACGCATGCTGAATTCAATGTGAACAATTTGAACTGTGGCAGTGTTCAACAATGTTGCAAACCACAATTTTGATACGTATAGCGAAGTACAGATGGCGCTGTAGTTGGTAATTCTTAAAAACTAGTATTTATTAATTTAAAAGCTCTGAAAACTCACAAAAATGACTTGGTCTAGTTATTGAAAGTCTCAAATTTAACTTATTAACTTTTCTGTGTTATATTAGATAAAATAATATTTGCATCTATTTGGCTCTCTCGTAGCTCAGATTACGTTACGTTGCTCCCTATGCGCTTATGTTGCTCACTTTTGCGCTAACGCACTCTGGTTATTTAGGTGCTTTGTACTTACGGTTGGCCGCGTGTGTTTTTTTTGGCAGCCAAAAAATAAAAGTTATTGCAAACTGCACGAAGTTGACAAAAAGTTTGCGATTTTACCAATTAAACACATTTTTTTTTTAGTGCTACTGTTGTTTGATATTGCAGCATTTGGAATATGAGTGATACTAGGGATCAAATTTTGGAACAGATTAAATTGCAAGGCGATCTCGTACGTCAGCTGAAAGCATCGAAGGAATCCAAAGAGAAGGTCAGAAACACAATATACAGCATTTGTAGCCATACATACAACATACAAACTTATATATATATATATATGTAAATAAGTATATATGCATACATAAAGGCAAAGCCCCAATCTATGAATTTACGTACTTTGAAACAATTGCATTCATGCATTTGAGCCAGTCCTGCATTCGCAATTTTAATTGTGTATTTCATCAGCTGTACACATCATTCTTTTTTTTTTTGGGAACGCAACATAATGACAACATTACTCAGCTTAGCATTGGATTTCCCCCATTTTGTGGTCTTTTGGTGCGCTGGCAGCTTCTAAATGTTGAATTTCAGCTCTGTAATTAGATTGCACGCACATAACAGAGAGCTTAATTGGCATCGATGGCAGCAACAAACCATAAAGCACAACTTTCACATTAGCGTCTCTTTTTATTTTTGTTGTTGCTGTTGTGCACTCTCAAATGATACTATGAATCAGAGTTTGCTCTTTCAAATTAAGTCGGTCAATCAGCATTTTGCTTTTTCGTCTCCTCATCTGCTCGTTCACCTTTAATGCTTTGCCCCTTTTTTACTACCGAGAGTTATTTGTTGTTGTTATTGTGTCTTTTTAATATTTATCAAGCAAGAAGAAGCAATGCAAAGCACAAAGCTACTTCGAACCAGCTTGACAACAAATATTGATGACGCTGCCTCCCTCTCCAATGTTACAGTAATCGTATTGATTGCGCTCATTGCAATCAAATGGTGAATCAGTTGTTATTTTACGCTATTCACATTTTATCGATACATCGATATTTAAAACGGCTTTTAAATAGCCTTCAAATATAAAATAGATTTTGGAATTATACTTAACACTTAAACAGAAAAACAAACATCACCTATTTTCCATTATACACACAAAAAATTAACTTATTCCGTAATCAATGGGAAATTGTTTACAAATCGCAGAGTTAGAAAAAATAGGAAAGTGCAAATTGAAACTCTAATCTAATTTTTCCTAATTGTTGTTGTTGTCTGTTAGATTTAATAAAAAGTAATTGCAAAAAAGAAACTAAACAATTACCATATTTAAAAGCAATCGAAATTATAAAAGTAAAAGTCAAAAGCAAAATGTTGCGTTCGATTGGTCGCCAGTGGCGCTGTAGTGCTGCGTTTCCGTGCCTCTGCTTTGGCCCTGCCATCCGGCACCTGCCGCTGGCGCCATCTAGCGCGGGACGCGCGATGTCAACAACAAAAGTTGGTCAACAATTGAAAGCACAACAACAAGAACAATTACAAGATCAACAACATCAAGAAATACATAAGGTTAGCATCTGAAATTACGCACAAATCATTTAATCTGAAATTTTGTTATCCATTGCAGATCGATGAGGAGGTGTCGCGCCTACTGGCTCTGAAGGCCACACTCGGCGGCGATGCCACGCCTGCCAACCAAAAGTTCACCTTGAAAACTCCGAAAGGTACGCGGGACTACGCGCCCCAGCAGATGACGCTACGACAGGGTGTCCTGGATAAGATTGTTCAGGTGTTCAAGCGGCATGGCGGCGAGGCCATCGATACGCCCGTCTTTGAGCTAAAGGTGAGAAACGTGAACGGGAGAGCTATGCCCGAAATCCGAAATACGAAATCCTTAACTGTATAATCATATAACCATTTGCAGGAGGTGCTAACGGGCAAATACGGCGAGGACTCGAAGCTCATTTACGATCTGAAGGATCAGGGTGGTGAGATCTTATCAATGCGCTACGATCTGACCGTTCCACTGGCTCGCTATCTGGCCATGAACAAGATATCCAGCATTAAGCGCTATCACATCGCCAAGGTCTATCGGCGCGATAATCCAGCGATGACACGCGGTCGCTATCGCGAGTTCTATCAGTGTGATTTCGATATTGCCGGCACCTATGATCCGATGCTGGCGGATGCCGAGTGCGTTAAGATTGTTGCCGAAATACTGAATACTCTGGACATTGGTGACTATGTGATTAAGCTCAATCATCGCCAGCTACTCGACGGCATGTTTGAGGCATGCGGCGTGCCAGCAAACTGCTTCCGAGCCATCTGCTCTGCGGTCGACAAATTGGATAAGGTAACATTTGTGAATATATAAATATGTATATGTATAGATTTTTAGAAATATATTTACATATTTATTGCAGTCACCCTGGGAGGATGTGCGGAAGGAGATGGTGGAGGAGAAGGGTCTAGATGGCGCTACGGCCGACAAAATCGGGGAATATGTGCGTCTCAGTGGAGGAGCCGACCTTGTTGAGCAGCTGCTGGCCGATCCTAAATTGAAAGCGGTTCCCAATGCAGTCAAGGGACTCGAGGGCATGCAGCTGCTGCTCAAATACTGTGCACTCTTTGGACTTGAGCAGCGCATCAGCTTCGATTTGAGTCTGGCGCGCGGCCTCGACTACTATACGGGTGTCATCTACGAGGGTGTTCTCAAGGTGGATCCAAGCCCTGCTGGCTCACCAGCTAAATCGTCGCAGAATGGCGAGCAAGCGATGGAGCAGGGTGGCACCGTTGGCTCCGTGGCCGGTGGTGGTCGGTATGATAATCTGGTTGGCATGTTCGATCCTCGGGGCAAGGCTGTGCCCTGTGTGGGCGTCTCAATCGGCGTGGAACGCATCTTCTCAGTGCTGGAGGCTAAATTTGCCGCCAGCAAGGTGAAGCTGCGGACCAGCGATGTTGAGGTGTATGTCGCCTCCGCCCACAAGGGCTTACACGAGCAGCGACTGCGTGTGCTTAACCAGCTCTGGGATGCGGGCATCAAGGTGAGTGGCTCTTGTCAAGCATTTGATGAACCCTTTTGTGCCTAACCCATTTGTATCTATACGCAGGCGGAGCATTCTTACAAGCTAAATCCGAAGCTGTTGGCCCAGTTGCAGCACTGCGAGGAGCATCAAATACCCTTGGCCATTGTACTGGGCGACTCCGAGCTGGCTCAGGGAATCGTCAAGCTACGCGAGGTGACCACGCGGCAGGAGTCCAGTGTGCCGCTGGTCGAGCTGCCCGACGAGATTCGTCGCAGGCTGCAGAAATAGCTAAATTATCGATCTAATCGGCAAATCCTCGCAACTTTCGATATTACAACTATTCTAAGATTTTTTTTGTTTTGTTTTTACATCATTTGTCAATGCATCAAATGTTTTGTATTTGCTCTCGTCTGCTGCGCCTTTCAGTGGAGGCATCCATGTGCTACTATGTTATACGAACTTACCACTTATTTGTGAGAATTAGTTATAGCAAATTTATACCAAAACTGAAGAATTCAAATAAACTACAAAAGTATTCGCATTAAACAAAAACAAACTTACCCATTTTCTATAAAAATATTAATTTAAAAAAAACCATAACTTCTCCATAAGGGAGAAGTTATCTGGTTTCTTGCCTCAGGTTGCACTTCCTGTGCGGTGTTTTCACACAAGCTTCTCATATGTCTGGCAAGAAGCCGGTGCAGTTCATCGCAGAGGCCGTTGCGTAGAGTGGGCCTCCTAACTGTTAAAATTTCCATTTGTGTATTTTTGTATGTGTGTGTTTTGTTATTAGTTAATTGTAATTGTTCTTTCTTGTTTTTTTAATTATTAATCTGATTTTCATAATCCTCTTTAATTCATGCTCTGCTTATGTTTACATTAACAATCTACCACTGAAGTCCTGATAGGGCTCAACCAAGAACTATAGCTCATTTATCATGTACTATTATTATAATTATATTAAATATCGAAATCAAATAAAAAGAATACTAAAAAGTCAATGCAGATATGTATTTATATCATGCACATATTTTTATATATTTAATCACAGAAATTTTATAACATAATTTGTTTGCATGCAATTGCAAATAAAGATTTCATGATTTGAGGGTTTGTGTGACTGTTAACTGTTTACTGTTAACTGTTAATTTGAGCGCCAACAATCTACTCCAATTGCACGAAAAATATGTTTATCATCCGATGTGTTGTTGTTGTTGTGGTTTTTATTGTGGTTAACGCCAACGGCCCAGGGGGCCAGCAACTTTAACGGTGTATTTGGTTGTTCGCCTTCTGGCCTTGAGGAGCTGCTGCTGCTGCTGCTGCTGCTCCTGCTCAATCATTTTAATCGCATCCGGGCCGAGTGCCACATAAGGCATACTCGGATCAGCCACAAGTTGATGCAGCGGCAACACTTGACTCTTGGGCAGACACCGGAACGACGGCAGAGGGGCGTTCTTCTTCTCGTGGGCGAGATCCGTGTAGCCGAGCTTGCGCCGCTGCTGCGGCGTTATCTTGGTGCAATGGCACAGCTGATGGATGCGCATCGCTCGCTCCAGATCAAAAATGCGATCACAGAACTTGCACTGTTTGTTATCTACTTTAGCTGTGGCCCTCTTAACGGTCTCCCGCATCCGACGTTCCCGGAAGCGCACCTTGAAATCGTCGTCGTGGATGCGCCGATGCGCCCCCAACAGCGACTTAATGTGGAATCTGGCGCCGCACGAGCTGCAGCTGTAGGTGGGCCTGTTCAGTTGCTTAAGTGCGCCCACCTGGATGCGTCGATTCCCGACCCCGTTACTCTTCCCCTGTTGTAGTTGGTGCTCGAACTCCATCTGCAATTTGCGTACCTCATCCTCATCCTCATCCCCATCCTCTACGTCATCGTCATCGTCATCGTCATCGTCATCTTCGCGTGGCGAGAGGCCGTTGCGACGGGGGGACTGCAACCGAGCTGCACACATTTGTTAGACAATATTTTATGATTTCAATTGGGGTTCACAAAGAGTTAATCATTCAAAAACAAGAGTTTAAAATTACTGCATTTTAAATTTAATAATTTGAATCCATTTGATTCGTATTAAAAGAGGGTTGTAATTCGAAACTAGCAAACCCAAACCAAATAACACCGAAAAGTTCGATAATCAATTAGCATGCCTTACTCACTGGGCATGGCTGGAGTCCTTATGCGTGTTTGCGGCATGTTTATTGCGCCTTCCTTAAATTTCGATGGCGTTCCTTGTTTGTTAAGATGCTTGCCCCGATGAAGGTGACTACTCCCGCTGCCTCCCCCAATGCCAATGATGCCTTCCTCGCTGGAACGCTTCCCGCGTAGTCTGTCAACGGGATCGTGATTTGATTCGGAGAGATACTTCAACGTGTGCTCTAATGATTTGCGGGCGTTTTCGACGTCTGTATCTAAATTGTCGTAAGCAGCTATTTTATTGGCGCGTTCAAATTGAGTGGATTTGTTCTGTTTCATTTTGATTTATGGAGGCGTATTTCAACCTGTAACTCTTGCTGTTATTGTTGTAAGCTGCGTAAGGAAATTTCTTTGAATATTTTTTTTATATTTGTGTCACTCGTCCATTAATAAAATATAGAAGTAAGCACACCGTTATATAAAATCCAAAGCATGCCTTATTCGGTTCGAACATTTTTAACTGTTGTTATTCCAGTGTATAAAAATGTCTGAAAATGAGCCTTAGTACACATGGCAAGGTGCAGATGGCGCTGCAGTTAGTATTTATATGATTTACTACTATTATTTAGTATTTCGTAATTTACAAGCCTAAGCACTTATAAACTAATCTAGATTCAAATAAACAAGTCTTAAATTGAACTCCAGGGAATTATTCGCATTTCAGTGTAATTATGTTTGCTGAAAGAACATTTGCATCGATATGCGCTCTTGGCTCTTTGACTACGTACGCTGCTCGTTCTACGCATTGCTTGCTCATTTTTGCGCTAACGCACTCGGGTTATTTACATCCCTGTTTCTTGCGGCTGGACGCGTGCATATTTTTTGTTGGCAACCAATTAATCAAATTATTGCAAGCCGCGCGAAGTTACCGAAGACTAGCGATTAAATACACATATTGCCAATTGAACAAAGTTTTATTTAGTGTTACCGCTGTCGTTGGCGCTGTGGCATTTGGAATATGAGTGATACGCGATCTTGTGCGTCAACTGAAAGCGTCGAAGGAGTCCAACGAGAAGGTCAGCAAAACAATACATTATAAATAATGTGTGTGTGATGCAAACAATAATATTTGTATGCAGCATAAGTGGCACTAGTCAGGCGTTGTTAGAGCCCTATCATACATACAAGCACTAACATACTAAGTATGTATGCACATACATTAGAACCCTGTTGCACTCGTAATGCTAATTATGTATTTCATCAGCCCTCATACATACAAACATTACACAGTGGCTCTCTCCTATGTCGCGCTCTTCGCTGCGTTGCAAGCTTTTCATTCGAGCTCTGTAATTAGATTGCATGCACATAACAGAGAGCTCAATCGGTAGCAGTGTTGACAACAATAAAATAAAATAAAAAAAACAACAACATTCACATTCGCGTACTGTTATTGTTGTTTCTGTTATGCACTCGCAATTTATCCTGCAGAACAGAGCTTGTGACTCATTTGAAGACGGCCGTTCTATCAGTCCTTAAGCTTTTCACCCTTGCCGCCTCCTTCCTTCTCCATCACCTGGAACTCTGTTGGTTTTGCCCCCCTTTTTTAATGCTGAATGTTATTTGTTGTTGTTATTGTGTTATTTCGTACTCACGACAGGCTGACTCACTGAGACAGCACATTGCTGCTTGAAACCGGCTTGGCAGCAAATGACAATGAAACGCTTTTGCCTTTTGTCGCATGTCACTGCAATTGCATCATTATTGACTTTTATGCGTTTATTGCCTTCAAGAGCGGAATCAGCTGTTATTTTTAACGCTGTCGTCGACTGCTGTTCACATATCGATACATCGATATTTTAAAGCGGGTTTCAAATAGTGTCGATATTTGTAATGGTTATTTGAATTTAACATTATGATCTAGGACAATATGAAAGAAATAAAATTCCAATTTGGGAGGGGTGTCTTAAAATCGTTTATCCTTTTTTAATCAGCTTTAAGTAAAACAAACGAAATGTCCCCGGTGTCTTGCTCAGGTGGAGGCAAGGCCGTCGCGGCGTCGCAGTTGGCAGTGATCCAATTTCGAGTTGCGATATCGAATTTCAAGTGAACAAAAGTGTCAAGTGTGTGTGTTTGAAAACATGTTTCATGCCCAAAATACATCAAGCAGTTAAGAAAAAAGTCATGACCGGCGGTCAAAAGAACGCAATGATTTTGTAGTGTTGAAATTATCATTTCGTTGACCTTATTGTTTCTTTCTCTTTTCTGCACACACACATACACACACTTCTACATGCAAACCACTAACATACACACAAAACGTTTACTAATCGCAGAGATGGAAATAATGTAGAAATCACAGCTCTAATAGATTTTTTTTTATTGTTGTTGCTTATTAGGTTTGAAAATGCAAAAATAGAGAAACAATTAAAATATTTAAATGCAATCGAGAATTATAAGTTAAAACCAAAATGTTGCGTTCGATTGGCCGCCAGTGGCGCTGTAGTGCTGCGTTTCAGTGACCTTGCCTTAGCCAGTGCGCCATCTAGCGCGAGACGCGCGATGTCAACAAAAAGCATTGGACAACAATTGAAAGCACAACAACAACAGCAACAACAAGAACAATTACAAGATCAACAACAAATGCATAAGGTTAGCATCTAAGTGCACTATCCAAATAGACAAATCTACGCATAAATCAATTAATCTGAAATTTTGTTATCCATTGCAGATCGATGAGGAGGTGTCGCGCCTACTGGCTCTGAAGGCCACACTCGGCGGCGATGCCACGCCTGCCAACCAAAAGTTCACCTTGAAAACTCGGAAAGGTACGCGGGACTACGCGCCCCAGCAGATGACGCTACGACAGGGTGTCCTGGACAAGATTGTTCAGGTGTTCAAGCGGCATGGCGGCGAGGCCATCGATACGCCCGTCTTTGAGCTAAAGGTGAGAAACGTGAACGGGAGAGCTATGCCCGATATCCGAAATACGAAATCCTTAACTGTATAATCATATAACCATTTGCAGGAGGTGCTAACGGGCAAATACGGCGAGGACTCGAAGCTCATTTACGATCTGAAGGATCAGGGTGGTGAGATCTTATCAATGCGCTACGATCTGACCGTTCCACTGGCTCGCTATCTGGCCATGAACAAGATATCCAGCATTAAGCGCTATCACATCGCCAAGGTCTATCGGCGCGATAATCCAGCGATGACACGCGGTCGCTATCGCGAGTTCTATCAGTGTGATTTCGATATTGCCGGCACCTATGATCCGATGCTGGCGGATGCCGAGTGCGTTAAGATTGTTGCCGAAATACTGAATACTCTGGACATTGGTGACTATGTGATTAAGCTCAATCATCGCCAGCTACTCGACGGCATGTTTGAGGCATGCGGCGTGCCAGCAAACTGCTTCCGAGCCATCTGCTCTGCGGTCGACAAATTGGATAAGGTAACATTTGTGAATATATAAATATGTATATGTATAGATTTTTAGAAATATATTTACATATTTATTGCAGTCACCCTGGGAGGATGTGCGGAAGGAGATGGTGGAGGAGAAGGGTCTAGATGGCGCTACGGCCGACAAAATCGGGGAATATGTGCGTCTCAGTGGAGGAGCCGACCTTGTTGAGCAGCTGCTGGCCGATCCTAAATTGAAAGCGGTTCCCAATGCAGTCAAGGGACTCGAGGGCATGCAGCTGCTGCTCAAATACTGTGCACTCTTTGGACTTGAGCAGCGCATCAGCTTCGATTTGAGTCTGGCGCGCGGCCTCGACTACTATACGGGTGTCATCTACGAGGGTGTTCTCAAGGTGGATCCAAGCCCTGCTGGCTCACCAGCTAAATCGTCGCAGAATGGCGAGCAAGCGATGGAGCAGGGTGGCACCGTTGGCTCCGTGGCCGGTGGTGGTCGGTATGATAATCTGGTTGGCATGTTCGATCCTCGGGGCAAGGCTGTGCCCTGTGTGGGCGTCTCAATCGGCGTGGAACGCATCTTCTCAGTGCTGGAGGCTAAATTTGCCGCCAGCAAGGTGAAGCTGCGGACCAGCGATGTTGAGGTGTATGTCGCCTCCGCCCACAAGGGCTTACACGAGCAGCGACTGCGTGTGCTTAACCAGCTCTGGGATGCGGGCATCAAGGTGAGTGGCTCTTGTCAAGCATTTGATGAACCCTTTTGTGCCTAACCCATTTGTATCTATACGCAGGCGGAGCATTCTTACAAGCTAAATCCGAAGCTGTTAGCCCAGTTGCAGCACTGCGAGGAGCATCAAATACCCTTGGCCATTGTACTGGGCGACTCCGAGCTGGCTCAGGGAATCGTCAAGCTACGCGAGGTGACCACGCGGCAGGAGTCCAGTGTGCCGCTGGTCGAGCTGCCCGACGAGATTCGTCGCAGGCTGCAGAAATAGCTAAATTATCGATCTAATCGGCAAATCCTCGCAACTTTCGATATTACAACTATTCTAAGATTTTTTTTGTTTTGTTTTTACATCATTTGTCAATGCATCAAATGTTTTGTATTTGCTCTCGTCTGCTGCGCCTTTCAGTGGAGGCATCCATGTGCTACTATGTTATACGAACTTACCACTTATTTGTGAGAATTAGTTATAGCAAATTTATACCAAAACTGAAGAATTCAAATAAACTACAAAAGTATTCGCACTCATACAAAATCAACGAATTATCTATAATTTTACATTTTAAATTCCACAGGTGATTCTAGTTTGCTTGAAGGTCTAGTTTCCTACACAACATATTTTGTAAATTTAATGAGTTCATAAATCAATTTAATGGGTTTTATCAATAAACAAAAACAATCAGGGTATAATTATGATTGGTATATATAATTATTGGTGGTTAAATTATATTTCATTTGCTCCAACTGTGGATAAGTCGGTTAATGTATTGTTATAATTAATATATAATATAATATAATATATATATATGTATATATATATATATATATATATATATATATATATATATATATATATATATATATATGTATATATATATATGTATATATATATATGTATATATATATATATGTGAGAAATTAGTGTTCTTGGCAAAAATCGATTAGTTGAGCGATTGTAAGTGGGTGGACTTGAACAGCCACAATAATCAGTATTATGCTCTTATATTTGCAGTGCCTGCCAGGCGACGTTGAGATAGTGAAGGAGTCGGAGAAGGAGAAAAAGAAACTCCAATAGCACCAGGAGAAGGAGCTACAACAATTGATTGGTTTATCAAAACAACAGGATGCCTGAGACACTGCCAGCAACGGCAACGGTGAGCGCCAGCAGCATCGATTGCACAGTTGCTGTGCTGAAGGTGCCCACGCCTACCATGCAAATGCCTGAGGCGTGCAATCTGCAGAGCTTGGGCCTCATAATGGAGCCGAACAACATTAATATCGAACTAAATCCTGCGGCAACAACGTCTGGCTTTAAGGTGAGTGCACAAACCATAGAATAATACCTGAGCTGATATGACGTCAGAGAAGTGAACTCCAGAATGGAAAATTCACTATATGTGGCACCTATGGGCTAGGGAAAGTGAAACCATAGCGGAAGATCCACGATCATCTCATCAATAAGATTTAGCTTTATTTTCATTAATCAATGCAAAAGTGTGGTCTTTTCATTTATGAACTCTTTTGAAATTTCTATCAATTTCTGATTATATAAATAAAAAGACTTACAGATCTTTACGATTGTCCTTATTTATTTATTTAGTGTCAACGAATATCGGTAAGCATCTAAAAATACAGAAAGTACAAAAGTAAACTGAATAAAATGTAATATGTAAATTTAAATTAATTAATAAGAAATATTTACAAGATTTCTTAATCCACCAAAACATTAAATTTTGCTAAGGAATGAAACTATTAAAATTATATCTTTTTGACAGAGAGTTGAAAGGAAAACAAAGTGCATTTGTTTAAATGGTTTATTATTTTATTTTCTTTTTGTTTTTATATAATGTCTGAAACTGATTGTACTTCAATTGAATACTCCATTTCTGTAACTAGTCACTACATGAAATTTGTAGTTTTCAAACTAGCTTGCTAAATCGGTTCACTATAATCATATCTTCTAGTACAAAGCGGATTACAAAAAAAAACGTATTTTTTATAAACAAGAAAGAACAGTTGTCATATCCACTGTAAGCCAGAGTTAATTTGCTGAGATCTAGTCAATCAAGTAAGTAAGTTGGACGTCGAGTCTTGAGTGACCGAAGCAAAGAGACAGCTACATATGTGCCAAATTTCATCAAGATGTAGGGGATTTCAACATTTTCAAAACACTTGGTGTATGAAAAGAAAACAGCCACACAGACGGACATGGCTATATCGACTCGGCTAGGATATATACTCCTTAGGGGGTGCGTTACACATGATACCACAAAATTATAATACACTCCACAAGGGAGAAAAAAAAAAACAAATAGAAAATGAATCTAGAGCTTCGAAACAGTTTACTTGCAGTTTTCTGAAATTGCAGACAATTTTTGACTTAATTTTCAAAAATGTTCATAATGTGCAGCTGAAGCAGTTGTGCAAAAAATATACATATAATTTTTTTATTATTATTATTTTTGAGCTGTACTAATCGATCTGAAAATGTATCTCCCTTGCCGGTTGTTGTTGTTTTTTTCTTCATCATTTCCATCATTTTGTGCGTTGCGTAATTTAATTATGCACACGAAAATGTCAAACGTTCGCGGCGGCGGCGGCGGCTGCTCGCCTCGTTTTTACACTCGAATTGAGTTCTGCCCTCCACCGATGGCTCGTCCTGGCTGCTGCTCATGCTGATGCGGCTGATGCTGCTGCTGCTGCTGATGCTGCTGCTGATGCTGCTTCTGCTTCTGTGGTCGCCGCATTTTTCATGCTTCAGTGCGTACAATTTGGACCACGAGCATGGGGGGAGGGTGACTGGGGGAAGAGCCGTCTCATTCAAATGACCTAACCCAGGATGCGTTGCTGAGTTTGACAGGCAGGCAAACTGGTAGGCAGGCGACTTTGACTAATACAGTTTTAATATACAATTCATTTAATTTTTGTTTCGTTTTGACTGCCCAACATTTTGTTAGTTTTTTTTTGTTCTGTCCTCGCTAATGTTGTATTTGTAGTTCATGTGTCATCCTTTGCCATCTTTGTTGTCTTTGTCGTTGACATGCCACTGTAGCCACAGTGGTTCCCCTACTATTGTCGCTCTCTGCAAATAAAATAATTTAATTTAATGCAATTATTTCTACGAATTCATTATAATTTTCCAGACTTCTCGGAAAACCACGAATCCACGCCGAGTTCATAGTCCATATTCATCTAAATGCTAAAATTATTGAATATTTGTTATGTTTTTCTTAACTGCCAATTCGAATTAATTGTCTAAATAAGTCTTTGTGAAATGAACATAGCAAAAAGTGTAACACACTTTACGATATCTTTATAATGCTGTGGAAGGTGATTTTTAAGAAATAGTTTAAAACATATACAAATATATTTATTTAATGTGCACGAAACATAGTTCAAAAGATTTTTTGTAATTGTATCTAATGATTAATAATCTTATACAGGGTGTTCAACACGAGCTGACAGCATCGAACGCTTTCACCTATATATATTAATGAAAGTAAATAATTTGCATAGATTTCGATGTTTTATACATTTGAGAACTCATGAAGGCCACATTTGACCACTGTGCGGCGGCTTTGCTGTCGCTTTTTCTTTACTGGTGGTGGTGGTGGTACTGGGTTTGCGGGATTGCCCTTCGTACTTAGATGACGTGGCTCTGCAGTTTAACTCTCAATGCATGTGTGTGTGTGTGTTTCTCCCAATGTGTTTGCGTGTATGTGTGTGTGTGTGTGTGTGTGTGTGCAGTGATTTGTTGTAGGGCTGCAGGGTGCACTTCAAATGCGCGGCTTGTTTGTCAGCACCAGCTATAGTCACCCGTTTGATGACGAGGGAGAAGCCAAGCGCAAGGGCAAGGGCAAGGTGAGGGGAGCGGTGCAGAGGACGTTTGCCAGCGGCAGAGCAGTCAACCAGCTAGTTGAGCTGATATCATTCAATGCTTCTAATTTACGGATTAATGAAGGCGCAATTTTACATATTGAATTTGTTGGTTGTGCGCTCAACTCGATCGTGGGAAGCGATTAGTGGCAGTGGCAGTGGTTGTGGTAGTGGTAGTGGCAGTGGCAGTGGCAGTGGCTGCACTGCAATTGCTGCCCCCCTTGTGCGGAATTGTTGCCTATTCTTTTTACATTTTTGGGCTGGCATTGATGGATTGCCACATAAATTTGTGATTTGCTAAGCTTCATTTTCCATTTTCATTGTAACCAAAAATGCACAAAGCACAAACATAATTTGTATGAATATTTATGAACAAACGTCGTGTACATATGTATGTATGTATGTATAAAAGTATGATTGGGCTTCAGGTCGTTGGCTGAACCATTTAGTGGACGTGGACAGGGCGGTGCGGTGCGGGGAGCCCACTCCTTCGGGGTTGGCGTCGAGTGAAAAGTAATGTGTGTTGTCCTAGGTTAGAACTGCCGCATAATTTGCATAATATCAAGTGTATACCGAGTGGAGAGAACTGCCACCGAATTGTTAGTGCGGGAAACTGAATTTGATGGGTTGAAACCACCAAACATATACACCAAAAAGTGTTTTTTGTTTATTGAGGCTATACAAATTATAAGCTATTGCAGAAAATGCTTTGAATCAAATGTTTTTAAGATACAAAAAATTAAATTGTGTTTTCTTTTTTCAGTGAAATCATTAAAAGAAATATTGTAATTTCTTTATTTGCAAATTTCATCGTTAGAAAAAACAATTGCGTTGAGCTAATCATTTGTCTAACATTAGATTTAAGTTAAAGTTATTGTAAAAAACCAACACAAAGATGTAAGATCATTTAAATTCTATGAAGAGCTTATTCGTAATGCGCTATTGATTAATTCACACAAAAAACCAATATTCGTAACTCTTTCAACTGAAACGCAATTGAAAGTTGAATTTTCGCTAAAGCCGCTTTAGATCGGTTATCTTCCGGGCCGCGTCAGCGTTAAGCTTCAATTTTCCAATTCACAGTTCAACGCCTCCAAAAAAAAAAGCGCAAGAAATGAAGAATAACAATAAGGCAAAGTCAGCTGCTTAGTGCAAACACTAATAATATTAATAACGATAATCGTGATGAAAATGAATCTGCCAATCCGATTTCGAGTCATAAATACGCAACGCACTCGCTTACCGCTTGCCGCTCACCAAGATCCGATGATAGGTATCTTTCCTAACCGAGTGAGTGCAACAGAGACAGGCAAAAAGAGAGAGCGAGCATTCCAGTGGCGGGGCACGCGTCGCCAGTTGCTTATCTTGGGTAACCAGCACGCCACGTGCAATTGCCAATTCCAATTCCAATTCCAATTCCTGAATTCCATTCATAGTTTTTCGCACGTATGCATGTGTGTAGGTATTGTGTGTAATGTACGACCAGCAGCAGCGGCGGCAGCAGCAACAACGGGTGGCGGGGTGTAAGTGGCGGGAGAGAGGGAAAAACTGTTGCAGGGACCAAACAACCAAACAATTTGCGTGCAATTGTTAGCGTTGCGTTTTTAATGACTTTCTCGTTTCAGTTCTGTCGGCATTGCATTTAATTCGATTATGATCCCTGTGCCCAGTCGTCCCCAGTTCCAATACCATTTACCATGGGGTAGCTTTAAGGTAGTGATGGTCGCGTGAGCCACCAACCACAAAGTGGAAGCACGCACGACAGAATCTCACAAACACGACACGCGCTACTGTTTGCCAACACTCATTCACTACTTTGCACATGCATATGTACATATTTTCGTTCATCTTTTATTTCATAATTTTATTATTATTATTTTTAGTAACTTTGAGCTACTAGAACAATTTTTTGTTTTAAGTGGGCACGTGCTGTGAAAAAAATACAGAACACGGACTCATCTCTACTTCAAAGCAATTGAAAAGAAACCGTAAGTGGAGCACTGCACATTTTCCAGGCGCGCGTATTTTATATGTGTATGGTGTATGTGTGTGTTCGCCCAAGTACAACTAATGTGGGTGTTAACGGTGTGTTAAGTGATTTTGCCATTTGTAAAATCAAACAATTGCGAAAGCCGCTGCGATAACTATCGATGTCGATGTCCCTGTCGATGTCAGCGCACGTTTTGCCCATATTTCAAATGCTCAAGTTGAAACTTTTGATATCCGTTCCGTTCCGTTTTAAAATTCTTGCAATAGTACGTGCGTGTGCGCGACCATACGAAAAGTATCGACTTACGTTTTCTTTTATGGTTTACGTTCTGCTGCTCTTCTGCTTTGGCGCGCCAGTTGCCAGGGCTGACAAGCAGCTTGCGCGTGAACAGTTTGAACAATGCAAATTGAGAATGAAGAACTTTTTTTTTACAAATACAAATCCAAACATATATACCATATTTTTATATGTCATATGTCTGTGTGTGTGTGTAAGCCATTTATTATAATGCGCCCACTGTCGTCCCTTGTCACTCTCTCCATGGGCCGGCTTTGGCTAATGAAAACTAAAAACTTCAATTACCAAAAGCGAAATAATGCGTTTTTAAACCCAAAAATGTTAGAACAGTAGCAAGAAATTGTGATAGATGAGGGTATGGCAAAATGCTTTTTACGGGCCACTTGTTTGTCCCTGGGCTGCTTATAAACAAAGAGTTAACCGAAAAGCACAAGAAAATAGCAATAAATCAGTGTAAACAACAAACACATACATTCGTATAAGCGCGTACGAATAGTAAAGTAATGCAATCTAAACGAAAGAGAAGCGAAAGGGTTTCGATTGTGTGTTCCGTTGGACTTTCCATGAAATTTCCCAACGGGGTGATTATTTAAAATTGTGCAACGCATAAATAGCAAACCAAACGAAGACAGCCGCCCAGCGCAGCTGTGTATTCGTGTGTTTGTGCGCGCGCGATATAATTGTTGCCAACATTTTATTATCCAAGTGGTTTTTCGAACAACAAACTTAAATGTGCGCGCTAAAGCTACTCGATGCCTGCGAACGATACTCAGCTGTTTTTTTTTACTTCACAGTTCGCCACTGGAAGAGATCACAGTGGAAAGGGCATTCCCGAAACGATATCAGCTGTTTATTTCATAAAGTACATTGTTCAAATTACATACTCATCAATTTTACTAAGTCATGGACTTAATTAGAAAGAAACCACATAAAAATTGTATGTCTAATATTACAAATTTATACAAAATGAATGGTGGCGATTAAGATTTTCTGTTAATTGAATTAAGGGAGTACGCTTATTATGTATCGATATTTGGCGGTCATGGGGTGTGCCCTCTCTAAATTAATATCTGCGTAAATTTAGTTCAAAAGCTGCGCTATCATCAGAATGTCAAGCGTTGCGAAACAAGAAAAGGAGATCGCTAATTCATCGGAGGCAGATGAAAGCGTTGAAAATGTAACGCCCCAACTTGAGCACCTAATATCCATGGGTTATCCGGTGAGCGAGGCACGCGCTGCGCTCAAATATGCCGATAACAATCTCAATCTGGCCGTACAGTATCTGGCTGAGGGCGGCGAAGGTGCCGATGATGATGAGCAGGTTTCCAATGCGCGGCTGCGTCGCCGCGCTCTTCGCTGCTGCAAGCTGCTGAACGAATCTCTCATGGATAATCCGGCCATAAACGATTATACCATTGCGGCACTGATGAAGGATCCACAGTCTGCAGAAACACTGCGCGAAATGGTTAAAAACCACAGTGGGCAGCTTCTAGCGTCCATGCTGAAATCCTCATACGATGAGGAGCATTAGTAGCTGAAGGAGGCGCATAAGCTAGCTATTAAATCACCTCTTGATGCTGTGTACTCTCCAAAGTAGATATTAAATAAAGGTAAAAAAAAAGTACGCTTTTTGGTGTTGTTGTTTTTGGCTTTTGGTTTATGTTCTGGCGCCGGTCAAGCCACCCTTTTGTTTTTTCATTTTGGGTGAGCGAGTATGTGTGTGTGTGTTCTTTTTCCCGTTACTTTGCAGCGGTGTTTTGTATTTCGGGCACTGTTAGCTGTTAAGCGCGTCAACCCTTTTGGCTTGATGATTAATGATCGTTTTTTGTATTTTGTTTTACTTGCTCCTGCTGCTACTGTTTTGGTACTGATTTCAATTTAGCGCTTGGCGTTACCAATTTACCCTAACCGAGCGCATTCCATTTACTGTTCTATGCAGCCGGCGCATCTGTACACACATACATATATATATATATATATATATACATACATATATATATATATATATATTATATTTTTTGTCTATTATCTAATATTCAGAAAGAGCAATTTATATTTGCTGAATATTTATAGAATGTATAAACATATTGTACATGATACAGATACGTAAGGATGTGTTTGCAGCATGTGAATATTCCTTTTTGCAACAGATGAAGGGCATTTAGGGTTGGGCGCAGTGGTTCGCATGAGGCTTTCTTCATTTCTTTTTTCTGTTGAAAATTCTAATTAATTTTGACGGTTGCAACCGTTTGCAGTGTCAACCACAGCCACGTCGCAGGCACTGCTGCCGTTGCCGGTGCCGGTGCCGTTGTCAACCGCTTATCAGCCATTTGATCGGCGTTGCGGCGTACCGCAAAATGCGACAGCAACAACGACGGCGACAACCCTTGACGCGCGTAGGCGTCGCCCTATCATTTATCATGGGTTGCAAATGCGCTCTGCCGCTGCCTCCGCCGCTTAAAAGTGGCCGTAACTGAGATCAAGCAATGGCAATTTTAAAGTGCATTGCGCACCCGGTCCACTTTCACAGTCACAGCTAATAAATTATGTATTGGAATTGGATACCGCTGATGCTGTTGCTGCTGCTACTGTTTGCCACACAATGCAACGCAATTAGACGCGCTGAAAGCGCTGCGTTTCTCTCATGTGTTCCCCATACACGGCGCATATCAAATTCACGCTCAGCCACACGAACTGCTGCCAAAAATGCGCAAGTTTGTCAATTGGCTGATGCGTCCTCGCCGTGGTTTTTGCCACTCGTTTACATATTACATATTAGGAATGGCAATCAATATGTTGACGACAAACGGATATAATTATTGCAACGGCAACAATAACGAAAATGTTAACTAAATAATAAAAAAATTAAATATTATTCCAATTTAATTGCTGTGCTGTATACATACATACATATGTAAATATACATATATATATGTGTGTGTGTGTGTTTGTATGCAAATTAATTAGCAAGTTGAAGACGTTGTTGCAGAAAGTGCGGCCGGCAGTGTCTGAACTTTATAATCATTGACAGGCGTCTTGAAAAAGTAAGCCTGATGAAAGTACATACGTAATGGAGTTGGTTCTTCACACGAGCAGGAAAGTGGTCGATCGCCTTTTAAAGAAGGCTTCAGCTAACTCGACGTGTTATTCGAATGCATTCGAATATTTAAAACAGTAATTTAATAACAATGCATTTCTGTCATTGAACAAAAGTTGCCATTCTTCAATTAAACAAATAAAGCTGATCTAATGGACTAATATAATTCAAAATAAGATTATCACATGTGTAGTGAATAATAATAATCATAATAAAAAAATAAATTCATTATTCCAGGCAGTAGTTTTTCAGTGATTTGTAAAGAAGATTCATGCGCTAAAGTCAGAATCAATTTAAGGTACTCAAAACTGGTTCTGAAATGCTTATGTAACCAATTAGACAATTTCGACGTTTTCCAACACGATTATCTTGGCGATGTGCTGTGAAAACGCTTCGAAAGAAATCCCACAAGTAAATCGAAAAATTCGAGTGGAAAATTTACATATTTACATATGTATGTAAGTGGAGCGTTGAGAACAGCATTGTTGGTCTCGATTTGTATTTGCACAAGCGCTTAATTGTGTAAAAAAAAAGGAAAAGGGGCAAGCGATGTCCTATGTCCTGGCCAGCAAGCAGCTGCAGAGGTCTGCCAATTAATAGATGAAAATGGATTTGTGGAAGAAATATGCGTTGCCATTTGCATGCGCAACAGCAACAGCAGCAGCAACAACAACACAAGCAGCAGCTACAATGCGTGCTACTGACAAGCCCCGACCAGAGACAATTAGGCAATTATTTGCGCAAAGGATCAAAACCAAAACAAAAAGCATCGCCAGCGTCTGTCTGTCTGCTGCGTCTGCTGCGCTGCTGTGCTGCTGTGCTGTGTGTTGTCTCTTCTCATTCTCATTCCCATTCTCTTTCTTGCGCTCACACACACGCACACACACACACACACACACATACAGACAGACACACACGCGGGCGCGCTCTTGTGGGAAAGCACACAGTGTGGCCGAATTCCAGAGCGGCGTTTCATTTCGTTTCATTTCGTTTTGGTTTGTCTTGTTTTGTTTGGCTCTGTTTTGTTTTGTTTTGTTTTGTGATTCGTTTCGTTTGTGTTCGAGTTTGCTTTTAATTGAACATGAGCAATTAGCGTGCAATTTGTTTCGCTCGCAAAAATGCTAACGGTAATCGCAGCCCATCAGCTCCCCCTGGCCGGTGTTCCACTTTCAGGCATCAGCTTCACGTGTGCCACGTGTTTTCTTTCAGGCCCGGCCCGAAAAACGCACTTGAGTAGAATTAATTTTAAATGCTGCGCTGCACGCGCCTAAGTGATTATGCCAAGCCATAGAAACACCATACCACACCACACCATACCATACCATACCATATCGTACCGAGACCATGTCATACCATCCACCTAAGCATTTTCTTGCTCTCTCGCATGTTTAATTATAATTAAAAAGCCTTGGCTCATCGCTTAACTCTCACACACATACACACACACACACACACACACCCCACCCCCACCCCTTCTCACACACTGCTTCATTTCTGTCCCGTTTGCACATGCTTCAAACATAACATCAGCCCCATCATAGACATTAAAATGGTTAATTGAGTGCTTAGTGGCCGGGCTTCGACTTGCAGCAGCCGCAGAATCTTGAACTCATCTGCCTTGGCGATTGTCAGGGCCAGAAAGCCATGCACTCCATAATATTAATTATTTTAATTGAAATGTTCATTATTTTACATCTAATTTAGCGCTGGATGCGTGTGTGACCCCCTCACCCCTCACCTTTCACCCCTCAACCGTCACTCCACAACCTTCAACCGTCACCCAACACCACACCCCCGTTCACCGAGCTGTGCTTCAGCTCAAAAATACCAAGTTCAGATCAGTGCTTGGACAGGACGAATCCTGTGTACAATGCTCATGTGCTTTTAAGCTTTCACTTTGAGGTCGACTGTGCACAGTGGGCCATGACTGACCCAAATCGAAATCAAAATGAGCCGTGAATAATGATCATTTTCACTTGTTTTAATAAAGGGGTAAAGATTAGATTTACATATTTTACTAAACAACTCAACCAATAATGTTTACCACAAAAGCAAAATAATGATGATTATATATACACATGGTATATTTTTTTAATATTACAAATCAAGCTGACGCTATTGACTTGTTGGTTACGAATAGCATTTGAATTCCACTGTGCCCATTGCTTACTGTTTATTTCATTTTTGGGGGTTGCTGCATTTGGCGCGGGGCTTATTATAAATTTTTAATTGGCTTTTTATATATGAATAATGCTGCTCTTTGCCAGCAGTCGTCCTGCCAAAGGGATGCAGTCCAGGGGGTTGCGGTACATTCGTTGTGTTCCTAGCCCTCTGTGTGTGTGTGTGTCCTGGGTGCGTGTGCTATGCTTATCCTAAGTAGTTTGAGCCTATTATTTATGCAGCCAATTCATTATGTGGTTGTCCACGGGTAATGCGTTTCACTCTACGACGTTTTCGTATTTTTATTCTATTATTTTTGTTGTTTATTTTTATTTATTTTTTTTACAACAAATTTGTTATGGACTCGCTGAAGAAGGGGTTGCTGCAGTGCAGGCAGATAGAGAGCAGGATATCTGTCAAGTTGGTTGGTAAACCGACAAGAATCAAATCAGTCCGAGGTGCAAAATAATAAATGGCTAAATGACAACAACAACAACAACAGCAGCAGCAGCAACATTGCAAGCAACCCCGTTAAAATAGTCCAAGTCAAATCAAAAATTACATTTTTGTTAACTCATTAGAGACGTGACGATGAAAGCGGTGCTTTGAAAAGGGTTTGTCATTTAATTAAAAATAATAATACAAAAGAAAAGAAAAGGAAAAAAGTGTCACAGCAAAACCAAAAGGAAACTGCGAATTGGCTTGAATATTATTGTAAACATATTTACTGTATTTAAGCAGCGCCTGGCTCCACCTACAGCCAGCCTCTGTTAACAGTGAGCTGCTCCTACGCACAGGTGTGCGCCTAACAGCGCGCTGTTAACGGACTGGCGGTCCTGCTGCAACTGCTACCCTCGTTGGCCGGCACCTGCGATAGGCGGCTGGCAGCCAAGTGCCAGAACGATTGGCATCCAATCACAGCGAAGCTCCAAAAGCATATCAGTACAAACACGAAAAAAAATAACACTGAACCAAATACAAGAAAACCTCCCCCCTCCCACACACACACACACGCACACACACATACAATCAGGGGCAGCAGAGTGAAAATGCGCAAAAGCCAAAACAACCCTCGCATTAGCTATCGCAATCGCAGTCGCAGCCAGAGCAGCCAGAGCAGCAGCAGCAGCAGCAGCAACTGCAAATGCCGGTCTCAGCGGCAGCAACAGCAGCTGATAAGCCAGCGAGAGCGAGAGAGCGTCAGAGCGCAACCACCTTAACAGGCATGGCAATAGCCGTATCCGTAGCAGCAGCAGCAGCAGCAGCGGCAGCGGCAACAGCAACAGCAGCAGAGGAACACAAACAACAACAAGACAGTTTTGCCGCTTTTCGGTTTTCATTCATGCAGCCTCGTCGCATTCGTCAAG